TACTTCATATTATATAGTTATAATATATCTAAGTAAATTATTTAGAAAAACTTTTATAATAATCTTAATTTATAAATAATTTTAATTACTAACAGTCTAATTGTTATTCAAAATGTATCAAATATGATAGACTTAATTTGCATACTAATGGTTAATATGGATTTTATGCAAATTTATGATAGATTTTTAGGAATTTTTAGGAATAACTAGAAACGGAACTTATACAGAAATTTCATTTATTAAATATTATTTTAGGTAATTTTACAAGAGGAACCTCGAGAATTTTAATTTTAGTTTGGAACAATTGAAATTCAAATAAATTTATTTTTTATTTTTGGTTTACTATCTTATTTAAAGTATTTTATTTTTGAATAATACATGAACTAGCATTTACTTTCGTGTTTCTAATAACGTATCTAAGTATAAGTATTCCAAATATTTCATTAATGTATTTCAGATATTTCAGAAATCTTTTTTTCTTAATTAATTTCTGTGGAAAATTGATTAAAATTTCTGTTATAAATATTATAGACAAGATTACTATAATATTATGGACAAAATTTGAAAAAGAAACGTGATAACTAGAACGTTATCTAATCTTTCATTAATTTATGGTTAGATATAGAATAATGTTAATTTTTAATTTTGTCTACTACAGCAAATTTCTTATTAAACTAAAACTTTTTTCAAAGTAATAATACTATCAATAAAAATAAAAAAATGTAACAATATTTAAAAATATAAGGCTTAAATGATAAACTGTTCTTGAATCTAATATGAGTTAAAACATAAACCAATTTCTAAATAATTAGATCGATAAATGTTGAGGTTCAGAGGGCGAAGTACTTTTTAAAGAAAATTACAAATTATCCTTGAGGTTATCATTGTGAGGTTATCATTATAGATTATTATATCAATGATCATTAGATATAATATAGTGAAGACATTTATATGGGTTTACCTTCTGGAGAAAGCAGCTTCGCAGTGCGTGCATCGGTATCTTCGGTCTCCTGTATGAAGCTTCACGTGGCGATCTCTACTGCGTTTATGTTTGAATAATCTGGCACACCAACTGCACCTATATGGCATTTGATCTCCGTGACTCTGTGATATTAACAGAAACAAGTGCCTTAATATTATAAGTACAATCATTAAAACAAATTGTTAAACTATATTATTTGCTTGGTCGTTGGTATGTTTTCTTTTTTTCTAAATTAATAAGTTTTATTGGGACCAGAGTGATTAAGAGAAAATGTTATTGTCATTGTAAAAGTAATTTTTGTATTAAGTATAGTATTAAAATAGATGATGACGAAACTTAATTGGCATAAAATTCTGTGCGATTTCCAGAAAATTAAAAAGAAACTTAATAAAATTTTCAAAGCATCGAAAAGAAATTATATGAAAATTCCCAGCAATCAAAAACTTTTTCTAGTAACTGAGAAAAAGTGCAAAAATGTTGTGAGAATTATTAATTAAATTAATAACATTGAACCATGAAAAAGTTGATGCGATTAAAAAATCACAATACCGTAAATTGAATCAGCAATATGATCGAAAATAATGACATGATCCGCCAAATGTTCTCGACCGGCTGTTCAAAGAACAAAAAGATCGACGGGCAAGAAAATTCCTCGTCGAGGAATTCCCCCGGTGGTTGTCACCCAGCTAGATCAGTGTGACCGATATGATCACGAACGGGCCGGGCCATTCTCTTTGTACAACTTTTTTTTGTGCTCTCCTTTTCTTTTTCCCCTTTTTTCTGTTTTCTTTTCTTTCCTTTTTTTTTTAGTTGGTCTTTATCCAACGAAGTAACCTTGGCACGTACGACTTTCGAGTCGTCGGCTCCTTTGAAGAGACAATCCGGACAGAAGGGCGAAGCGATCGCCTTCTTGTTGAAAATCTCTGTATCGTGTTCTTGGACGTAAAGAAGAAAATGGGGGAAATTTGAATGTAAAATTTGAATGTTTAAATTAATTGTAGATTTTCAAATAATTTCCGACCATTTCCGTTGAACCATTTTCTTAATACTCGCATTAGCATTTTAAACTATAGAAATTAAATACTCGTTATATTCCTCATAGGCCATATTCCTATTCCTTAAAGATGCGAATCTTTTTCTAAGAACTCTAACATTTATATTACTATTCAAAATAGAAACTAAATCTTCATTGCATCCATAAATTCTCCAAATCCACAAAACCTTTTCTAAAAATCCTAATATAGGTACATTTACGATAGTAACCGTAATATAAAGATACTTTTGTAAAATTCTACAATTCACATTATTTAAAATTACATTAATTTATTCCTGTATTATCAAAGGAAAGAATTAAAATTGTAAAAAAGAAATTTTGAATTTTCTGTTGTACTTCGCAATTCTAAAATTTTTCTAATTCCGTCAATTGTATGACTTTCGTGATCTTGTAGAAACAAACAAAGAGGAAGAAGATTGAAAGCAATAAAGGAAGATTTCATAGTCCCTGAACGAAATTTATCTCCGTTATCGGGCTCGTATCTGTGCTGGAAGCGAAACGCGATTCAGCTCGCGTATGTGGAAGCGGTTTTTATCGAGACTTGAAAAGCGTAGAGGAGAAGCCGAAGTTGGAGAACCATCTGGACGGTACAACCTAACTGGTACAACCTGTTATGGGCCATGGAATAGATTTTGACCCGACGATGACTCGTCGACATCAAGTCAAACATGGAAGAGTCGCTTCTCTAATATCTACCATGCAAAAAACAGAAAAATTCGAAAAAGCCGTGCCTGGGATGTCCGCAACGGGACGCGCAATCTAGCTTCCGGTTTCGAAAGATTTTTGCTTGTTTTCGCTTGATCTTATAAAAATGACAATAATAATTAATAAATTTAAAATAATTCATATAAATATAAATATAAAGTTAATGATGATTTTTATTAGAATTATACTATTTTTATAAAGTGCTATAATAATGTAAAATACAATGTTCGAAAAATACAATGCAGGACATGTAGCATATTTTGTAATATTTCAACAAGTATTCAATTGTATGCAATTATGGTTAAAATGTGTCAAAATTGTAGTGAATCATTTAATCTATTCATTTGCATATTTATCTATAGTTTTGTGTTGCAGATCAGGGTCAATTCAATAGAACCTAAATCTAATAAGGTATGTTAATCGTACGTGCACGATAATGGCTAGTCAAAGTGTCGCTCCAAAATTCACCGAAGGCAATTTATTGCGGCTACTTATTGCGTTTTCAATGCAACTCAATTGTAGGAAGAATTGATGTTAGAAAGGAGTTCCACGTTACGAGTCTGTCTCTTTACGATTGTCTTTCTTACCAATCTATCTTTATTATCTAATATAATGATTTGTTAACTAAAATATCAACTTTTAAAAATTGAAAAGGAGATTAAATGATCTAGAACTTCTTTCTACGAGTAAAGTAGATTAAGTGAAAGTTTAGATTTAAATAATATAATTGATGAATTAGCGAGCAAGAAAGCAAAAAAAGTGTATTTAAACTAAAGTGCAACTAATTTTATGCCAAAGTTTTTGTATTGTTTTTATATCTTTTTTTCTTCTTATAAACATTCTATATTTAGTAAGCAAGAATTAATTTTTTAAAGTATGTATTCTTTAAATATTATAAATTCTTTAAATATTATTTTAAATATAATATGTAAATTCTTTAAATATTATAAATTCTTTAAATATTATTTTCTAAACTATTAAATAACAAATAATTTTATTACTTATTTTCTTAATTTCATAAAATGAAAGTAAATTTGAATACCACTATCTCTGGATATACCCGCATTGTAACAAAATTGTTACTTTACATCATTTTTCAATTACATCAGTTTCAAATATCTCAAATATTTTTTATTATTACTTTATTATATTATTTCTAAAGTTTTACTTTATTATGTTATTTCTAAAAGTTTATTATGTAGTTTTTTTTCTTGTTTCTTTCCACTATTATAATTTTTTTATTCATTCTAAATAGCCGGCATTCAAAATATTCTGCACTTCCTATGTAAGTATTCGAATGACGTGTAAATATAAGTTAATTTAATAGTCAAATTGTTTCTTAACGTAGAATTTTTAGTGGAACTAAAAGTTGAAAAGAACAAATCAGTTTCAAGTTTTGATGAAAAGCAGACAAGAATAATAGTAAAATAAAAATAACAAACTTTTCAAAAGTCAGCAATGTAATATAGTATATTTTTACCAAGTATATATATAACCAGTATATTTATACCAATCACAATAATTAATTTCAAATTAGATATTATTTTTAATTTTGATTTAAAACTACAATAAGTTCTAACAATCGAGTTTTTAAAACTCGATTTATTTGTCACAGACATTGAAAACAATATTGTAGATACATTGTAATAGTAGTAAAAATACCTAGATATTCTTAAAATTCATTTTTAATATTAATATTGCAATATAAATATTCTTGTACAACAAAACCAGTAATCATTATTTGCTACTATTTCTCTATTTATTTTATCTTACCATTTTAATTATAATTATTAAAAATTGATATCTCCAATGAGATTGGAGATATCATCAAATGAACTTATGTATGTGGCTATATAGTCGTAGATGTGAGAAATTCAGAGATGAAAATAAAGAAAACGAAGAAAGGATAATAATTATCGATACCTGTTCGTGTTTCTTCAGGTAGCTAAGTCGCGGAAACGTTCGGTCGCAGAATTGACAAGGATAAGGTGCGGTAGCATTGGTTCCATCGGTATTAACGCTGACGTCAGCATCTACCTCAGGCTCCGATGGGAAGCTGGCTGACGTCGGCGTTGCGCAAGAAGAAGGCGTCTCACCACCGCGTCGTGAGTTTGGACCACCATCTTCGCTCTGCCACGATGAACTTCCGGTCCCCAAAGCTTCTGCAATTCAAAACAAAAATCCTACATGCGTGTTTAATCAACAAAAATAATAATTTCAAAATGTTGTACATTGTATGATATTTTAATGGTACTTTTAATATTTTTATATTTTTTTTATTTATTTGGAGGAACAAAGAAATGAAAGAAAATTACGATCTGTAAAAGATATAAATGCTCGCTCTTTCTACGATGGACAGATTTGCCATTTGTATCAATATAGCAAAGGACGAGTACCATAGTAATAAATCAGTATGAGAATGATAATATGGTAAAAATTTGTATAGATATATTATTTTTATATGTACAATATGAGTCTCGTAACATGGCGTCTTAAGATAACTTGGAAATTATTTGCAAAAAATATCTCAAGCAAAAGTTTTTTTTTGCATAGTTTTCAGAGAGACATATAATACTTGTTATTTTGCTTTTTTATTAAGATATGAAAATCACTTTCAGTTTTTTAAATGAAATGATATATATTTTTTATCTATTAATCGGTGCAGTTCAACATGCTCTATAAAAAAAAGTATTAATATCTATGTATATCAAAAAATTATTAGTTTAAGAGATATTTTAACTTTAATTCTGTAAAATCTATTGTAAAATACTTCACAGTCCAGAAAGACAAGGAAAGCCAAGAATAATATTCTTGTGTTCGTACTGTCTATGCCTTTCATGCATTTTGTAAGATTTTGTAAAATTAAAGTTAAAATATTTTTATCTATATAATTTCACATTTTTATAAATACTTTCATAATTAAAAGATCAAATTTAATAAGCTTGTATCATTTATCACCGATCATAAACATTTTGTAAGATTTTAGCGTAAGACTCGTCTAAATGTAAAAATGTCTTCTATTCCTGTGAAATATAATATTACTAATTTGTATAACAAATGTACTGACGTATAAACTAGTAATATTATTAACTAAATGAAGTATGTTTAAAACAAAAATTATGCTTAAAAATAAAATAAAAAATAAGATGTCCTTTCACAGTTTAGAAAACATTCAGTTTTGTAAGGATTAATTTGATATTCGAAAAGAAATTTCAATACAATTAGAAAAATTATCTTAAATGTTTGACTAATAGCATAGATATAAAAAATCTAGAAAACAAGATCTGAGAATCGAAGAACCGAAATCTAAAAATCAAGAAGCCAATATTTAAGGAAATATAAGTCCAAAAAACGAAAATTTGAATGAGAACCAAGAATCAAAAAGTAAGAGACCTGTTGTTCTTTGGCAACCAAATGTCAATTAAAGAACAATGTCGATCTTTCATATACATACATGCAATAGTAGCAAACATTACTACAAAGTAATTTTTTTTCAGAAAACAGGTTTATAACTAAATGTCGTAAGACAGACTAGTTCCATAAATGACCTTACGAACCTGAATATACATAGGAATATCACAAGGAGTGTGGTTGACCTCAGCTCGCCCGTTACATGTCTCTTTATATCGTTTCCGTAACGAGTATGCGGTGAAACTGGTACCATTAACCCGTGAACGTCATCAAGAAGCTTTGTCGTTTATCCTCCGCGAAAGGACTGGTTCTCTTATTCTCTTGATAGAAGAAAAGTATATTCCTCGCAGGAATTCTTTACTCAAGTTTTGTCGCCTTTCTTTTTTATTCCTATCCTTGTTATCCTTGTTATCTAATGTTATTTAATGTCCACGCATTTAAATGCTCGTTCAAATTGTTACATGACAATGATTTGTCTTCACTTTTTGATAGTATTTGATTTTATTTTAAACTTTTATTTATTCCTTAGATTCCTTAGATTATACATTATTCAAGATTATGTAGGCTAATGCCCACGTTAGTTCGACTGTGGGGAGAGACTGGTCGGTGTTAATATTTCAAAATTGAAGCAAAAGGGAACTTTATTATTATATGTCTCATTGAAGTAAAACAAATCATTTCGTTGTCAATTTTGCATCAATTGTCACGAATGTCACGATTGTCACGAAAACGTATTTAAGTTATAAATTACGTTTGAAACTTTTAACAGATCTTAACATTTTTTATTTATGTTACAATCTTAGTGATAATTTCAAAAACAAGCAAGTTTGTTTCTTATTGGCACTATTTTAATATTGGTAGATATTGGTAGAATCTGCATAAAAGATCAATGTAATCAGATCAGTAATACGCATTTATTCATGTTTGCTTTATGTTACTCCTAAGATGGATCATTGCCGTATATTTCTTATATACAGTAAGAAACATAACTGACTACATAATAATTACCAAGGAACAGTCAATCTGTTGCCAAAGATTTATGAGTCGATTTTGAATAATTAGGAGCTCCTGATTACGAATAAGTATTCACTCCATACCATAGATACTGTGAATGCGAAACCTTTTCTATCACCCTCAGTCCAATTGCAAAGTGACACGTTTTACAAACTTTATATGATACCCATTGTTTGTCCTGTTCTCTAATTTGACGTCCAAAATATGCCTGATATGCCTGATATATTTTACGAAGTACGTGATATTTTTTCTTATTTCTTTCTTTTACAACAATGCCACAGGTATATAACAGAAAACATCAGGATTATTTACACTGTTTTCGCAAAGTATTCATTTTCGCGGTGAAAGATGCTCGTATATTTACTCGAACGAACCCATTAGTTAAACTAATACTAATAAAACAAGTTCTTAAGTTATTTTTTTAAGGGAAGGTAGTTGATAACGAATTGAAAGTACGTCGTTTTGTCAAGTAAAGCAGGTTTGGAATCATTTGGGAGATAATTACAATTTAAAAATAGGTCAAATTTGATCGATTTCGATTATTTTACAAATTAGAATAGTTTAGCCAAGGAAATATATGATACGAAATCAGGACCAATAAAATATTAAATCTTTGGTAACATGAAAAAAATTTTTGTTTGTTCCCCGGTGTTATCAATAGTTTAGATTGTTATTACTTTATAAAGAAAAATTATTTATTTAGTCTTATTTTTTAAAGCGTGAAGTTTTTATTTTGACTGTTTTGAGTTCGTTTTTTTTTCAAAGATGTTTTCATATTAACCCACTGGTTGAAAAGTAAGAACATTTTTATTTTCGAAAATCTTCGAACATCTAAGTAAAAGTATTAAAAGTATGTTTTCCATAACTTAATCTACCATGGTTTAGGTTAGGTTTAGTTAGGTTAGGTAAATGAACAACTTTAATCTTCGAAATCTTCAAAAATTTTTCAATGTTTTTACATATGTGTGAATTGTTGCAATTTTTTTTATAAAGAAAATAACACTTTTCCATTTGTTACATGGTGTTAAAATATCTTGGAAATAGAAAACGAATTTAGGGTGATGAAGACAGGAGCTTTATGTTTTAAAATGAGATTAAGTAAATTATTATATGATTCTAACGAAATTTAAAATATTGACAATTCTTTATTTAAATTAATGGTGCAAAACTCCACGAAAACAATTTATATTTGCTAGAAT